GGCAAGATAATGAGTACATTTCTTATCAAGCATTGTAGCCTCCTCCTTTGTTTCCCCTTCCCATCCCTTCCCATCCTCTCCCCCCCCTCAACCCCCCCAACTAAATTTTTTGTGGTTAATTAGGAAGGGAGCCTCAAGGACTTTTCTGTCTAGGCTAGCTTCCAACCTCTAACCTTCAGATCTGAGCCTCCTGAGTAGCTAAGATTATAGGTGTGACTAACTACCGGAGCCTTGTACCTCACTCTTGAATAAACATTTTTTCAATAAGACATTCAAAGGCTGGAATACATATGCATTTTTACTAAATTGGGAAAGTTCAGAACTATGTTACAGGTGGAAGATATCCATTAGTGCAATCATGGCTAGAAGGCAGGAACACACTATTAGTTTGACAGGAAACAGCAGATAGATCAGATAAGCCGAAAGAGAGGCAGTGTTAGATTTTTGAAAAAAATTAATACTGGTTGAAGGAATCAAGATTACAGTGGTGATCCAGGAAATGAAAACAAGAGATTTTTTTTTTATTTTGGGGGAAAAAAAGATTACAATGGTGACTCCTAGAGTCTTGAGTTTGTATGAAAATTTTCTTTTCTTTTTTTTTTTCTTCCCGGCCGATACTATGGCTTGAACTCTCTCTTCTTCTTCTTCTTCTTTTTTTTTTTTTGGTCGGTCGTGGGGTTTGTGGGCATTGTCCCTGCGCTCTTCAGTTCAAGGCCAGCGCTCAACTTGAGCCACAGCGCCACTTTTGGTTTTCTGGTGGTTAATTGGAGATAAATGTCTCATGAATTTTCATGCCTGGGCTGGCTTTGAACTGTTATCCTCAGATCTCAGCCTCCTGAGTAGCTAGGATTATAGGCATGAGCCACCGGCGCCCAGCTTTTGGCTTGAACTCTGAAGCTCACGTTTATGAAGAAAATGCTCTATCACGTGAGCCAAATCCATTTCGTAGGCGAGATTCTTAATTCACTATTTAAATCAAAATGCTTCCTGCTTGTATGCAGCGCTCTGCTACTACAATTCCCAGAATCCCACGCGTTACCACAGTACCCTTGGAGTTTGCCGCGCAGAATTCTGGGACTTGAGGTCCGCGGCCTAGTCATGCGAGCTAGAGCTAGGGGCCTGTGGAAACATGAAGAGGTAAGGGCCTGTCTGCCTTTTAGGCAGCACAGGGAGCTCTATTTAACCTTTTACCTTGAAAATGGCTTTTATTTCTGTCTTGAATCTGTCATATTCTTGGGGGGGGGTAGTTTCGTTTTAGCGGAAAGACAAAGGAGAATGGCAGGGGAGGGAGCTAGGCCTGGTGGGTGAAGTTGTGGACAGGCAGTGACCAAGGCGGGTTCCTGAGGGACGCCGTAGCGGCGGAGGCCCGCGGAGCCGACACGAGGCACGGCTTCTTTTCGTTTCGGGAAAAAGACAACTAGGCCCAACGCTGACCGTACCCAGAGAGGTTCCTCCCGGCCCCCTCCACCGGAGTCTCATCTTTGAATTGGGGTGCGGGGCCGGCTCATTTATTTGCGTACTTTGCGACTTAAAAGAGGACTTAATGGGACCACGAAATCATGTATCGCTTTCAAGTTTCAAATGAAGAAAACAAAGCTTATTACAAATTGGAAAGGAAAACACAAAATTTGCTCCCTGAATTTTCACAGGAAAAGAAAGACATTACTGGCAGCAGTTCCCCCTGCTGGTTCCATAGTGTTTGCACCTAGATGCTTATTGTTGGGAACTAGAGCCCCACGATGATAGATAGGTCCTTTAAAAGGGTCCTCATCGTATTAGATTTGTCTTCACTATTCCAGAAAATTATCGTTTTGGAATAGTGCAGTGAATTTAAAATATTCTCACCTACACTCTCAAGTTACTAGGACCTCTTTTTTTTTTTTAAGCGGTTCTGATTTTCCCTGCTTGGAAATAACCTTTAACATAACAATGATCTATCTTATATATGAAAAATAAAGCACATAATGTATATATAGCCAAAAGAACAATTATAAATGTTTGAATACGCCACAACCTTAAGAAATAAAATTATCATTCATACCTTAACGCCTCTCTCTCCTCCCATATTGCTTCTTCCCCCTCCCACCTCAGATAACCACTATCCGGGCTTTTGTCTTATTCTCCTGCTTAGTTTTTTTTTAAATATAATTTTATTGTTATTAGTAAAGTGTGGTACAGGAGGATTACCATTTCATATCATATAATGAATACATTTCTCTTTTTGGACAGTGTCATCTCATCCTTCACTTTCCTTCAGTTTCTCCCTACCATCTCTGCCCACAAGTTACATAGGTCATCTCCCACATAGTATATACTGAATGGGAGGGTTGCATTTGTTATAGTTTTTTTCTTAAATAGATTTTCCAAATATGACTTAATTCCTGAACAAAATTTTCCTAGTTTTATCCATTTTCTATTTTATACAAATGAGCAAGATTGTATGACTTTTTCTTTACCTGCTTTTTTTCGTAGTATTTAGGCAATATTTTATTTAGATGAAATGTTATTTGTAAAATCTATCACATACAATCAGCAATCTTATTGGTTTTAATCATTTACATGTCTTAATAGTTCTTAAGCTAAACATTTGTTATAATGACATTTTTTTTTTGTCGGTTGTGGGGCTTGAACTCTGGGCTTGGGCGCTGTCCCTCAGCTCTTCAGCTCAAAGCGAGTGCTCTACCTCTTGAGCTACAGCACCACTTGCAGTTTTCTAGTGGTTTATTGAAGAGTCTCCCAGACTTTCCTGCCCAGGCTGGCTTTGAACTGTGATCCTCAGCTCTCAGCCTCCTGAGTAGCTAGGATTACAGGTGTGAGCCACCGGCTCCCGGATATAATGACATTTCTTTAGAGAGAGAGAGAGAGAGAGAGAGTGTGTGTTTGTGTGTGTAATGACATTTCTTTAGAGAGAGAGAGAGAGAGAGAGAGAGTGTGTGTGTGTGTGTGTGTGTGTGTGTGTGTGTGTGTCTCACGTGCGAGTACTGGTATGCTGATCCTTTGACTTAAACTCAGGGCCTAGCTCTATCCCTGAGCTTCTTTTGCTTAATACTAGCACTTTACCACTTGAGCCACAGCTCCACTTCTGGCTTTTTAGGTAGGTTAGTGGAGATGAGTCTCTTGGACTTTTCCTTGCCCAGGTTGGCTTTGAACCACAATCCTCAGATGTCAGCCTCCTCAGTAGCTAGAATTACAATGAGCTCCCAGCTCCCAATATGACATTTCTTTTTGAGATTTGTGTGTGTTGATGAATTTAGCTATGGTTTATTCCCCGAAACATTGAATGTTGCCAGGCACAAATGGGTCACTGCCTGAAATCCTAGCTACTCAGGAGGCTGACATCTGAGGATTACATTTCAAAGCCAGTCAGTGCAGGAAAGTCCATTAAACTCTTATCTCCAGTTAACTGTCAAAACAAACCCAGAAGTAGAGTTGTAGCTCAGGTGATAAAATGCTAGCCTTGAGCAAACGAAGCTCAGGAATAGAGCCCAGTCCCTGAGTTCAAGCCCCAGGACCAGCACCAAAAAAAGAAAAAATATGTATATATAATTCATTCATATTCTGTCTCTCCTCCCCTAGGCACATACATAGAATAGTACCATGTATATCTCTCCTCCCTAAATAGATTACAAACTTCTTAAAGATAAGAGACTCTTGTTTTGAGTATCTTTGATTTCCATCACTATCTAGCATAATGCCTTCTGTATAAGTATTTGTAGAATGAAAAAATATGTACCATATTTTTAATTCACTTATCAATTGTAGGACATCTGACCCATTTCTATAACATGGCTTTTGTGAGTAGTGTAGCAATGAATATGGATGTGCAAGTGTATTTACCATATCCTGACTTAATAATGTTCTGGGTACATGCCCAAGAGTGGTATGGCTGGATCATAGGAAAGTTCTATGTTTATATTTTTGAGGACCTTCCAAACCACTACCCAACTAGTACTAGTTTATATTCCTGCCATCAGTGCAATAGGGTTCCTTTTTCCTCATATCCCCATCAGCATTTGTTGTTCGAATTCTTGATGTTGGCCAATCTAACTGGAGTGAGATGGAATTTCAAAGTTGTTTTGGTTTGCATTTTCCTTATGGCCAGGTATGTAGAACATTTCCTCATGTGTTTGTCATCCTTACTTCTAAGAAGTCTTTCTTTAGGTCTTTTGCCCATTTAGTGATTGGTTTATCAGGCATTTTTTTGGGTGGAGGGGTAATTTCTTAAGTTCCTTGTACATTTTGGGTATTAGGCCTATTAAATGAATAATAAAGACCAGTGAGTTATTAACAAAGGGTTTTGGAATGAATGGGGTCATTAATGTTGAATAATATATGTAAGGAATATTATTTTGAGACACTTTTACTTTCCATATCTATTCTTGTATCTACTCCAGGATAAACAGCTGTATGAAGAGTGATGAACAAGTCCTGGAAGAGCTGGAAACGGAAGGAGAGAGGCAGCTGAAAAGCCTCCTTCAACATCAGCTTGACACCTCTGTCTCCATTGAGGAGTAAGTGACAGACCACTCTATTTTGGGGAGAGTGATATTGGTACTGGGGTTTGAAATTAGAGCCTCATGCTGCTAGGGAGATGTTGTACCTCTTGAGCCATTTAGCCAGCCCGTTTTAACATTGGCTGTTTTCATTTTATGCCATGGCCAGCCTGGACTGTAGTCCTCATACTTGTGCTTCCCTTTGTCTCTGTTATGACAAGCCCTTGCTTGTCACTGCTTCCCTTGTTGGTTGGGATAGCAAGTATGTACCACTGTACCCAGCCATTGGTTGAGGTGGAGCCTTAAGAACTTTTATGCCTAGGCTAGACTCAAACTGTGATCTTCTGATTTCTGCCTCCCAAGTAGTTAGGATTATAGGCTTGAGCCACCACACTCAGCTGACAGACCCTCTTAAAGCCTGGATAGAACACTCTGCCACTTTCTTTGGAAGGCTTTTACATGTTAACCAAGGTTTTGCTTCTATGTGTCTTCCTCTAGGAAGTTTCTTATATCCCATCACCTGGGCCAAGGACCGTTCTTTCTTTTTTTTTCCTTCGGTCATGAGGCTTGAACTCTGGGCCTGAGCCTTGTCCCTGTGCTCTTCAGCTCAAGGCTAGTGCTCTACCACTTGAGTCACGGCACCACTTCCAGTTTTCTGGTAATTAATTGAAGAGTCTCAGTTTTCCTTCCCTGGCTGGCTCTGAACCGTGATCCTCAGATCTCAGCCTCCTGAGTAGCTAGGATTACAAGCATGAGCCACTGGCATCTGCTTCCAAGGACCTTTCTTATATACCTTCAATTTTCTACAGTATAGCATTCATAACTCAGTATTGTCATAGCTTGTTTATTTGCCTCTCTTATACTTTCCAATATTCTTTCACAAAAGCAAGAGATATTTTAATCTCTTCTTTAACTATTAAACCCTCAAAATATGGCAAAGTGATACATAGGAAGTACTCAGTATATATTTGTTAATTTTTATTATTATTATTTTTTTTTGTTGGTCATGGGGCTTGAACTCAGGGCCTAGGCATTGTCCCTGAGGGTTTTTGCTCAAGGCTAGCATTCTCCCACCTTGAGCCACAGCACCATTTCCACTTTTTCTGGTGATTAATTGGAGATAAGAGTCTTATGGCTTTTTCTTCCCAGGCTGGTTTTGAACTGTGATCCTCAGATCTCAGCTTCTTGAGTAGCTAGGATAATAGGCATGAGCCACCTGCACCAGGAATATTTATGTTAGTTATTAGTTCCAGATGAGGGAACTATTGATAGAATTCTATTTTGTTGCAGAAATAGAATATGAGAAAGAAATGAATGAGTGTCACTGTGCCTGCTATAATACTAAACCCCCATTGCTATGAATCCTGATGACCATATGTTATTTCCCCCTTGCTTGGTTTGCAGATGTGTGTCCAAGAAAGAGAGCTTTGCTCCTGGCACCATGTACAAGCCCTTTGGCAAGGAAGCAGCTGGGACTATGACTTTGTCCCAGTTCCAGACACTGCATGAAAAGGACCAGGAAACTGCTTCTCTCAGGGAACTAGGGCTTAGTGAAACAGAAATCTTGATCTGGAAGAGCCACGTTTCAGGTGAAAAGGTGAGTGGGGTATTTTTTTTTTTCCTAGAGAATAAAGAACATTATCTCTTTGACATTGCAAATATTTTTGTTTTTAATTCTCACGAAACTGAGCTTTGTACTGAGTCTTCTAGACATTTATGAAAGAGTAGCTGTTTATTCACTTTTTTTTTAAGGTCCAAGATGGGCCTAAAACTCAGTACCTGATGCTTTCCTTCATTCGCTATCAACTGAGCCATGCTTCCAACCCCTATATGTTCACTGTAAATGCTTTCAGTTTCTGAGCCTTGGCAATCTTTCTTTCTTGAGGCATCAAAGCATCACTTTAAGGCAATGTCTTCTAAGATATGCACCATCTCCTTTCTCTGGTTTCAGAAGAAAAGGCTAAGGGCAACTCCAGAAGCAATACAGAATCGCCTCCAAGATATTGAAGAAAGGATCTCAGAGCGTCAACGCATCCTTTGCCTGCCACAAAGGTTTTCGAAAAGCAAACAACTGACCCGACGAGAAATGGAAATAGAAAAGTCTTTATTTCAGGGAGCTGATCGACACTCCTTCCTTAAGGCTCTTTATTACCAAGGTATGTGATCCTCACTGATTTTGCTATCTTCTTTTATTGAGAGAAAAATTTAATATTAAGGAATTAGGTATAGAGAATTAGTGAAGGGACTGGGAGAAGGACAAGCTATTACTATTCCTAAGGAATGTAGAGTTCCACAAGACAGACAAAATGTGTGCAGTAACTTGCATGACAGCATAGAAATTATTATAGTGATTTGAGTCACGTGCTGGGGAGCACAGAACATATAGCTTCTAAATTTAGTTGGGGGAAGTTGGAAGAAGTTGAAATTCGTTCTGTTTTGATGAATCAACAGATATTTATCAGGTAAAGGGGAAAGGACATTACAGATAGTGAAAAGGAACAGGACTGAAAGGGCATGGTGTATATAGGGAATAAGAAGTTCAATGTGGCAAGGGTATGAGGTGTGTAGAGAGTGATGGGCTGATACTGATATGGGAGGTGAGGCTAGGTTGTGAATGGTTTATAAATTAGAACAAAATATATACATACATAAAATGTGTCTTTGTCAGAAAGATTTAAATAGATCACTTTTAGTAGGGATGGTGGAAGGTGTACAGAAGTTTAAGAATGGTTCCTGACTTTGTTCCAAGTATAGTCTGGTTGGAGATATATGCACAAAACTTTTAGTAATACTAGATAAGGTTTCTAAGTGCTATTTCTCAGAAGTTCAGAGTTTTATTGATGTGGCTGAAAAAGGCCTGTCAGAGGAAATAAAATTCCAGTGTCCTTTGAATACTGCCTACTTAGACTGGGAATGGCATTTCAAGTGTTAGTGTAAACACTATCAATGGTTTGGGGGAATTAAACTTGGAAATGTAACAGAGTGGTAGACGTCATTTGGTTGAGAGTAAAAAGCAGTTAGACTTTCAATTAATGAATTTGAACAGGAAAGTTGTTGAACTAGGAGTTACATGGTACAAATTATATTTGAAAATGATTAATGTGACAGCCAATAAATAGGAATAGACAAAAGAAACAGGACATGGTGAGGAGCTTCATATTCATTTAGACATAAAGATCTAGACCACACTGATGACAGTGGGATTGAAAGGGTTTGGTTATAAGAGATACTACAAAGGAAGAATTGATATAACTTGTTGACAGAGAATGAAGGAAGAGGGTCAGGGAAGAGGAATGTGTCATAGATAACCAGACGTTTCAAGGCTATTAGACATAATAATTGGCAAAATTTAAGAAATTATTTATGGGAAAATTTTGAGGAAGGATTTATTTGAGTTGGTTGAGAGTGGCAGTTAGAAATAAGCCCTGGGGAGAAGAGAGGTCAGAGCTAGGTATGTGGCATTGAAAATCATCTCTGCTTAGATGATATTTTAAAGTCATGAGAAAGACCAAATGATTTGTTAGAAATAGACCATAGATGTGGCAGAGTGATGGTGAAGGAATGAGTGAACAAATGAGTGGCCTTTTATGGATAGTTATTATGGCATGCTAAATATGAACATGGGCTCTGAAGGCAGACTTCCAAGGAGATCTGGCTCCCCCACCTACTAGCTGAGCAAGTATTTCTCTATAGTTAAGTTTCTTCATCTGTAAAATGAAAATATTAATAGTAGCTATAGTATAAAATTGTTAAGGGATAAGTGAAGTAATACATGAAAATCACTTTAAATACTGCCTGCTATTGGGGTAGAGGGTGGGGGGCGTATGAAACTGTTCTGTTTCAAACCTTTGAACTCCTTTTAAACCTTCACAGCACACCACAAAAAGACAAGTGCAGACAAGTACATGACCTCAATGAAGAGGAAGATAAAATTAGGCACAAAAGGCAAGTCGAGAGTTTTCTTAAAGTGTTAGATTTAGGAATGTTACCTAGGGTCCCATAATGCTGAGTTGAACATTATGTCATTCCCTATTCAATATATGAAAATAGTTATAGGAATGATCCAGCTAGAAGCTATCTTGATCTGAAATATTAGAGAAATTAGTTTTTTCTAATGTAATGCTTTTATAATTAGTGTGATTTATATCTCTGTGCTTTTAAGTTATTGTACCAAACTTAAATTGACCTTACTCATTTCATTATATCTTATGTCACAAATAATTCTGAATATTTTTTATCAGTTAAGTATAACTATTGATGATGATGATGGTGATATAATAGCTAACATTTCATTTTTGAAATGCACTTATAATAACATTGCATGGGGCTAGGTGTTGTGTTGTTTGTTTGTTTTTTGCCATACAGTTCTGTGAGTTGTCTATCATGTAGATTCATATAACCACCATCATAATCAGTAGAAAGAAGTGCTCCATCACTCTGAAAAACTCCCTCATACTATCTCACTAGAGTCACTCCTACCCCCTCCCATAAATCCTGACAATCACTGATCTGTTCTTCATCATTTTAGATTTATCTTTTAGGAACTGTCATTTAATGGAATCACACAATGTATAATCTTTAGGTCTGGCTACTTTCATTCAACATAATGCCTTTGAAACTCATTCAAGTTATTTGCATCAATAGTTCATTCACTTGTGAAGTCAGCATTTCGTTGTATGGGTGTTCCATCATTTCCCATTTGACCATTGAAGTATAATTTGGCTTGTTTCCAGGTTATGAATAATATTGATATGAACATTCCTGTACAGGTTTCTGTGTGAACATAAGTTTTTATTTCTCTAAGGTAAATGTCAAGTGGGATTACTGGGTCATATGGTAAGTGTACATTTAACTTTATATGAAACTGCCAAACCATTTTTAGAGTGGCTGTACCATTTTGCATTCTCACCAACAATGTATGAGAGTTTCACCTGTTGTATTTTCTTTGTCAGCACTTGGTATCGTCAGTATTTATTTTGATTGTTGTGACAGGTATGAAGTGGTACCTCATTGTTCTTTTAATTTGCGTTCCCTTAATGTCTATTGATGTTAAATATCTTTTCATGTGCTTATTTGCCATCCTTATATACTTTATGCTAAAGTGTGCATTCAAAACTTTGGCCATTTTATCTCTGGGTTGTTTATTTCTTTCCTGGTGACTTACAAGATTTCTTTATATATATATATGGATATAGATATATATTATAAACACAATACCACAATACTCTTGTGAATATGTAGTTTACAATATTTTTTCCAGTTATAGCCTATCTTTTCATTTTCTTAATAGTATCTTCTCTAGAGAAAAAACTTTGTTGTTATTGCGTAGAATATATATAACATAAAATTCAACATGTTAAGTATTTTTAAACTCACTTTGTTTTGCAACAATTGTCATCATCTCGCTCTAAACCTTTTTTTTTTTGGTCGGTCGTGGGGCTTGAACTCTGGGCCTAGGCACTGTCCCTCAGCTCTTCAGCTCAAGGCCAGCGCTCTACCACTTGAGCTACAGCACCACTTCCGGTTTTCTGGTGGTTTATTGGAGATAGGAGTCTCACGGTCTCTCCTGCCCGGGCCGGCTTTGAACCGCGATCCTCAGATCTCAGCCTCCTGAGTAGCTAGGATTACAGGCGTGAGCCACCAGCGCCCGGCTTAGCTCCAAAACCTTTTAACTGAACCCACTGAACACTACATACTCATTTCCCTCTTCCCCACCTTCTGGCAACCATCAGTCTAATTTCTGTCTATGAATTAAACTACTCTACGTACCTCATATAAACAGAATCGTGTACTATTTGTCCTTTCATAACTGGGTTTTGTTATTTCTGTTTCAGTTTTTTCAAGATAAGGTCTCATTATATAGCCCAGACTGGCCTGAAACTCTGTGTAGCAGGCTGGCCTTGCACTCATCATTTTCTTGCCTCAGCCTCCACATACTAAGATTATAGGTATGCACTACCCTGCAAGGTTCACTGATAAAATGTGTCAGAATTTGCGGCTGGAAATTAGCTTAGTGGTAGAGTGCTTGTCTAGCATGCATGAAGCCCTGGGTTCAATTCCTCAGTACCACATAAACAGAAAAACCCAGAAGTAGCTCTGTGGTTTGAGTGGTAGAGTGCTAACATTGAAAAAGCTCAGGGACAGTGCCCAGGCCCTGATTTCAAGCCCCAGAACTGGCCAAAAAAAGTCAAAATTTACTTACTTTTCAAAGCTAAATAATTTTTGCATTGTGTGTATATACCACCTTTTAATTTGTATGGATTAATTGTATGAAGGGATTTTGTTGTGATATTTCCATAGCTTATCACTTTAAAAAATTTGCCAGTGGACAGTTTGGTTGTTCTGATGATTTAGCTATTGGGAGTAATGTGTCTGTGAACATGAATATACAGATATGTCTATTTTCAATTGTTTTTTGTATAGATATCTAGAAGTACAATCATATGATAATCTACACTTAATTTTTTTTTTTGGTCAGTCATGGGACTTGAACTCTGGGCCTGAGCGCTGTCCTGAACTCTTCAGCTCAAGGCGAGCTCTACCATTTGAGCCACTATGCCACTTCTGGTTTTCTGGTGGTTAGAGATAAGAGTTTCACAGACTTTCCTGCCTGGGCTGGCTTTGAACCATGATCCTCAGATCTCAGCCTCTGAGTAGCTAGGATTACAGGCATGAGCAACCCGTGCCCAGCTACACTTAATTCTTTATGGACAACCACATATTCTTTCCATAGAGACTGCCATTTTACACTCCTACCAGCAATGTACAAAAATTTCAGTTTCTTCATACTGAGTAACATTTGTTTTCTAGGGTTTTTTTCTCTTCTCTTGCTCTTGATATTAGCTACCTCAATATGATTGAAGTTGTCGTTATATTTTTGGTCTAAATTTCCTTAATAACTAGTGTATATACTTTTGGACTACTTTTATATTTTCTTTGGAGAAATGTCTGTTCAAATGTCTTTGCTTATTTTAAAATGGCTTGCTTGTTTATTTTCATTGAGTTACAGTTCTGTGTATATTCTAGATATTTATCTTTTATCAGATACAGGATTTGCAAATATTTCCTCCTTTTCTGTGGGTTGCCTTTTCGCTTTTTTGATAGTTTCCTTTGATGAAAAAAGTTTTTATGAAGTCCAGTTTGTTTATTTTATCTTTTGATTTTTGCTTTTGATGACATATCCAGGAAATCATTGCCAAATCCACTATCATAAAACTTTATCCCATGTTATCTTCTGAGCTCTTAGAGTTTTTGCTTTGTTGTTTAGGTTGTTGATCTATTTTGAATTTATATTTGCATATGACATAAGTTAAAGATCAAATTTCATGTTTTGCTTATTGATATCGTTTTCCCAGTGCTGTTTTTTTTTTTTAAAGATTTCCTTTTTCACACTGAATGATCTTGGTACTCTATTCAGAAATGATTTGATCATATGAATGGGAGTTCACTTCTGTGCTCTCCTACTCTACTGGTATATCTATCTTTATGACAGTACCACAGAGTCTTAATTATTGTAAGTTTGTAGTAAGTTTTGAAAGGAAGCATGAGACTTGGAATAGTTTTCATTGATTTTCTTTTTCAGCATTGGTTATTTGAGTGGGTCCCATGAAATTGCATAGGAATTTTTGGGTAGATTTTTCTATCTGTGCAAAATTATATCATTGAGATTTCTGTAGTGAGTGCATTGAGTCTTTTGATAGCTTTGAGTAATACAGACATCTTAACAATACTAAATTTTTTAGTGCATGACCATGGGATACCTTTTTGTTATATAGTCTTATTTACTTTTGCAATGTTTTGTAGTTTTCAGTGGATACATCTTCCACTATAGAACATTTACACTGCCTTTTATTTTAGTAGTTAACTTTAGTAGTTAATTTTACTACTGTTGTCTCTTATGTAGATCTGAATTAGTATGTCCATTTATGTTAGCCTAAAAGATTCCTTTTAGTTTTTCTTACAGTGTAGGTCCTTCAGTGATGAATGCTCTCTAATTTTTTATTTACTTCAATTTTGAAGTATAGGGGATTTTTCCTAGCATTTTATTAACATCCATTAATTGTACAGGATTATGGCTTTGATTGTGACATATGATTATAATATACTTCAATCAGGATCATCCTCTTGTTACCTTCTCTTCTTTCTCTGAAATTTGGTTTTGATGGATATAAACTTTTAGTTCACAATCTTTATCTTTCAGTGTATTGGATATGTTATTTTATTGTCCTCAGGCTTCTATGGTTTCTGGTAGGTCAACTGTTAATCTTGTTGAGGACCCCTTTCTTTCCTTAATCAGTTTTCTTTGTCATATTACAGTTTTGGAAAGTGAAAGCACCCACCCCCAGAAGACCACATATGCAGTTTATTGCCAGCCGAGGCCAACAAGGCCTGCTGGCCTGCTGGGAGAGGAAAAAATGGTACCCATCATTTGTTGAGGGTCAAATTTATAGTCAGGGGGCTAGGGGTAAAACACTGCCCCCAGAAGTGAAGTAGGAGGAATGGCCAGGGCTAAAGGCCAGTTTCAGTTAGGCGTGGCCAGATCAACTGGTTTTGTGGGAGCCGCTGAGGACCTGAGATGGAGGGCATGCTAACAGAAAATTATCAGCCATTATCTCGAAATATAATCTGGTCATTTTTTTCATTCTTCTAACTTTCCTTTTATGTATATGTTGGTATCCCAGAGGTTTATGAGCTTCTACAGTTCTCTGGCTCTGTTAATTTTTCTATATACTTATTTTCTTCCCCATAGAATTGGTTAATCTCCTTAGAGTAAGCATATCTTTATGTTTGATCATTTCTTTCTTCTGCCAACTCAAATCTTTTGAGTCCTCTTAGTGAAAATTTCATTTTACTTTTCAACTCCATAATTTCTAATAGATTTGTTGTTTTAATTTCTTTCTAATTTTTATTCTTTGGTGGTATTAGGGTTTGAACACAGGGCCTTG